GCACTCTATAACACGTTAGTCTGACCACGCCAGAGACTGTTAGACCCCTTCTTTTGCAGAAGACCCAAGTGCCCTGCAGCCTCACACTGCTCTCTGGCCTACCCTGTCCTGACCGGGACAGGAAAAAACTCTGTTGTTTGCATCCGAAGGACTTAAACGATCAGTGTCTGGAGTGGATTTTATATTTATCTTCAAATTCCCATTCTTTCACACCCCTTTTCCTGCCCAATTCATCTTGGTTTTGCTACCACATCAAAAACTCGCCATGTTGTTTGCTTTTGCTCACGTATACAACTTGCAGAGCATGCACCCCCTCGCCACTCAAACGTTGGACTGCCTTGTTCTAGGTTAACCAAACTGGCCAGGTACAGACATTGCACTTTTCCTGGTATAAGTGATTGGAAACCGGTCTATATCCATAACAGAATAGAAGTTCGGCACACACAGACTGGTTTAAAAATGGCAGAACCCAGTCTGAGATTTTCCTCCCCCCGCACCAAAAGGTGAATGTGTGTCCTGTTTGCTACCGATCTAACCTGCATCGCTTCCAGAAACCACATCACTTAGATCGATTCTGCCACAAGCTTTTTGAATGTTTGTACCTAGCCACTGAGGCTGCGTGTAGACAAAACAAGAGGCGTGTGTGCATGACACTTTAAAACAGGCTAAATGCTTTTGCACTGCTTTAATGGTGTCGGTGTTTGCACGCCTTGGTGGTTACTGTACATTCATTCCAGCCGCTGTAGGAAATTCAGCAGCATAATGTGCCTTAAATGACTTGGGGTGCAGCAAACTAAAACTCCTTTGAAGAGTTGTAGTTTGCTGCCCTACAGCCGTGGAGCGAAGCACCGGGCTCCATGCAGCTCGGGCTCTGCAGAAGCCCTGGAGGCAGCCTGGCAGCAGCCCAGGAAGGCAGCTCCGCCCAAGAAAAGCGGTGAGCCTGATATTTCCCCCCGCCTCTGGAGCCTGCCTGCCTGAGCTGTGCAGGTGCCTGGTGCTTTTTTCTGCAACTGTAGTGCCCCCCGGGACCACCCGAGCTGGGTGCTTGCGGGCCCAACACGGGTGTTTAATCAGCCCTAAATTGAAGCGGTGTTTTTTACCCTTGTTTCATCTACACACGCTCCTGTAGGGTCTGCCTACATGGAAGCAGCAGCATGTCCCAACATAGACCCCTCTGGATATGTTCTGTTCCCACTGTGGCCATGGGACCGTTTCAGGGCCATCCGCAGTGCTCTCCCTCCAGCATGCTGGGGACCGAGATCTTGTGTGGCCTTGGAGGGATGCCCTGGAGTGGCGTCCTTTCTGTGTTTGGAGCATGCAAATGGGAGCAGATGGGTCTCTGAAGGCCGCAGCTCCCCAGAACCTCCTCCCTGGAGGGGTGAGCATTGCAGGTCAGGGAACATGGATTGGTATGTCTGGGGACATCTGTGCCAGGACAGGACACTGCCACAATATAGAATTGATACAGACCTGTGCCCTTGGTGTCCTCTCAAGAGAGGCTGTCCGTTCTCCTGGCTGTCATAGCTGGTCTACTTTGTACTTGTTCCTGTCTGAGCTGTGTACAGATTGTACACCAATGCACTCAGAATTGTAGCCAAGGTCTCACTAGTGCCCTTGTGCAGTGTCATTACTATTCTCATCTGTCCCCAGTTAATATCTTGCCTGTACCTACATCCTAGGTTCTCATTTGTCTCTTTCATGGCAGCGTCACATTGATCAGTCATAGTCATCCGATGCTCAAGGAATACATCCAGTCTTCTTCCTCTCTTGTTTCCAAATGATGAGCTCTGGACTGATAGCAGAAATTCCTGCAATTAGTCCCCTGCATTATGAATCACCAAAATTTCACCTCGTTTCTGATACTCTGGTCATCAAGGTCATCCACATCTTTTTATGCGATAATCTGATCCTCCTCTATTTTGAGGATGCATTCGAACTTTGCATTGTCAGCGGAGCTCATTATTGGGTTTTTGCTCTTTGTGCCAAGGACATGACTGGAAAGAGGAATCAGTCCCGAGACTCATCTTAGGCGACCTCCACTAATAACTTTCTTCCAGTTCTCCACTCAGTGCTACCTATTGTCATTTCCTCTTAACCCCGTTCTTTTTTTTTTACTCTCTAATTCCTAAATAGTTACGCTCCATCTTCTTTGCCTGAAATAATAGTTTCTTATGTGGTCTCATTTGCCCCCCATGTTTTAATGATCCTTTTCCTTCCAAGTTTGTTTTAAAGCTTAATATACAATGGAGGGCAGATGAATAAGTTTGCATTTGTACAAATGACAATTTTTTTTTTCTCTTCTGGAATTTAGGTGCATCATTTGCTGTTCTCAGCTATTATAGTCTGCCCCTGGCACTGGTCTCAATAGGAAGCATAATTTACTTAGGCCAAATCTTGGTTCAGTTTGTAGGAAGGTAGAGAGGTACTTGCTCTTTGGTCATCAACTGATGACCCTCCCTATTTCTCTGCCTCCACCCACACTGAAAGCCCTGCAGTGGTTTATATTATATCACAGAAGCCAGTGGGCTCCATTGCTCTGAGCTTTTCTTTATGGGGAATTATCAGCTTCTTAGACCCATTTTAACTTCAGAATTAATTTCTGCTCGGTCCTGATGCCTCCATTCGTTTTTCTACTCCTTTCCTCTCCAAATATCCAGAGTACCTTCAAGTCTTGCACCCACGGTCCTGGAAGCTAGATGCATTTTGTTCATCCACTGCCACAAAAGACACTTATCATCATTAAGATTACCAGTCCCATTCAGAAGCCTCTACATATAATGTTAATAGGAAGCAGAATTCCATCTTATTCCAATTAACCTAGAAAACCTACCTTTATATAACACAGTAGACTCTAAAACATGCAGAATGCTAATAAAGCAGCAGGTATTTCTGTGCTTTATATCTGCCCATGTATGCCACTTATCAAGAATTGTTGTGCATTTGAATGTTACTGTTATCTTCTCAGTTTTAGTCACAGGAAGCCAAACAATTTGAGCTGCTAGATTTTAAAAATTTTTTTTTTTAATAAATCAAAATTCCTTATTTTCTGTGTTTTAGATAACAGATGGGCTGCTACCGTGTTAAGCAAAAAAAATAAATATGTGAGCTTTCAGATTCAATGTGGCAAAAAGACCTGGAGAGTTCAGGGAATTAGTAGTGGCCACAGTCTGGGCCATCCCTACCCATCTGCTCCCGCATGCATGCTCCAAACCTGGGAGGTCACTGTCACGAACCCACTCTGGTTTGGGGGTGTCGTGCAGATTGCACTGTTTATTGTACTCATGTAGCATGTGTAGTGTCACTGGAAAGCCAATTTTATGCTATATCTATTTATGTCACTTTTATCACTGTATAGATTATGTTGTGCTGTCTATGTATACCGTTGTGATTTGGGACTTGGGTTAGCCAAAGGAAAAAAAGAGAGTAGAGGAGGAGGAACTGCTAGGCATCTCTTCACACCGGGGAAAGGAAAATTGGTGGGCAGAAAGGGCCACTGCTGGGATACGCTCTTAAGTTACTTACTTACTGTACTTGTCTTATTTTTCTGTCTTCAAACTTTACAGCCAGCTTTGCTTGTACAGTTCTCTTCTCCTACATAATGCATTCTTTTGTGGTTTTCTCTCTTTGCTCATTGCCTGCGGCAAAGAGTGATTTCTGGGCAAGTGATAGTCTAGGTTTACTCATGCTATGGAAAGAACGACCTACAATTTCTTTCACGGCCCAAGGGGAAGCCACCTGGAGTGGGCAGAGATCCTCCAGCTATGAGGGCCAGTGCAAAGGCAGCGCAGCTAAGGCTTGTGGGGATAAGGCGTTGTCCCAGGGCAGTCTGCTCTTTGGGACAAGCCCTGGGACAGTGTGGAGAAACCTGGAGCTCTGGGGACACCCCGGGGGTGGGTTTCTGGCAGTCCCCTCCAGTGGCTGCTTTCAAGCATGCTGGAGACCCTAACGGGATATAACAGGGCATCTTCCTTGGTGCATTTCTAGGTTTGCTCCAAAGGGGAGCAGATCAGAATGAGGCCTACTAAATTCTCTATTTACAAGTCACAGGGCTAATGTTCATCCCAGATTGGGACTGGCAAATGGTTATCACCTTTGGATGGTGTGAACTAACCTAAAAGACATGAAATGCCATTTTTGCTCCAGTTCCTAAAACACGGGCATCCACAATAAAGTGCCAGACTAGCAGTAATAAGAGAAGAGGCAAGACCTGAATGGGTTTGAGACTGAATTCTTCTTTGGCCCTTAGATGTGGTTCATCCAACATAGGATTTAAACTCTTTCATCAGCCACTTTACTAAAAACATCCAAGTTTGCCTCAAAGATCTCTAGGGTTTACAGCCCGACCTCCAGCGATCATGCGAAGCATTGCACTGCACTTTATGCGTTCGGAGCGGCAGGACCATGCAGTTGATGTTTTGGTTTTTTTTGTTAGCCAAAATTCAGTTAAAATGCAATTTAAAGGCTAAAACTTCTGTGACCTAATTTCAGAGCCACTCCAGTACCCTGGGTTAGAAAGGCTGACTTCAACTTGCACACGATTAGGTTTGTAGTTTGCTTTGAAGAGTCGGGGTGCATGCAGGGGGGCAGACAAGGGAAGAAACAGAAGTGATGCAGGTGCACTGTAGAAACCGCTGCCTGTTCCAGTTTAGCCTTGAGGCGAGAAGGGCCTTTCCCTGCCTAACACAGAGGACAGCTTCCTGTTAGAAAACTTTTTATTTTGCATTATTTTTTCCATGGGAAAAGAGCTCAGGTGACAAGGCATAAAGGTTCGCGATCTGAAGCATTGTGAATGCATGTGGCCAGGAGAGCCTTAAACTGCCCATGCCCAAATCTCATCCACCCGGATGCGTCTGCACTCTGACCGCCTCAAGGAGCTTTGCAGGGGGTTACTATAAATCAGAATCAGGTTCTGGGAGTTTTGCTACCCATTGGTCCCACCCAGTCACATTCATACCCTTGAATGCTCCTGTTCACTTCTTCTGTCTTCTCTCTTCTTGCAGTCTAGCACGTCCTTCAACCGAGATGCTGTGAAAGCAGGGACAGGACGGCGCTTTCTTGGTGGGTTATTGGATGACACTTCTTACTGCTACACTCTGGAAGTCTCGTTCTACAGTTACATCGTTGGAGGAGCTACGTCTACCGTCCCGTATACAGAGGAAGCATGTATCCTTTTGAAATCCAGCCTTCCTCTGCCTTTGAGTGCCCCGGTACTGGACGGCTAAGGTAAAACCTCCGTACTATGAAAAATGTGCTGAGTAGGAAATACACGTTTGAAAATGTGCGTTTGTTTTCGACACTTGAATTTCCTAATACTGATACTGCATGAATTCAAGGAGGAAAAGACCCATTAGACCGAAAGACCGTTCACTGTCAAGTGCAAGATTATTCACCACAGTACTTACCTTCTAGGTCTTTGTTTCAGCTTGCTCTTTATTCTGCCATTAGCCCTTTGCTTGCATTATGGTCTCGACCCTCCCCCAGCAATCGCTACCAATGAATTGTACAATCTTCTCTACCATTTGAGATGACTTAACTGTCTCCATTGTGTAGCAAAAGGACTTTAAAAGCTTCATTCACCCCCAGGTCTCAGACTTTACTAACACTAATAATACTGTATTCAAAAAAAAAGAGAAGAAAAGAAAAACAATTTTGCAAAAAAAGGTCAACTTTTTTTTTGCATTTTCCATGATCCAAAGGAGAATGAATTTTAATTCTTTTAGAATATTTTATACTTTAAAAAAAAAATTGCATTTTTGAAGATTTACCGTTTCTGTTCCTTCTGTCCTTCCCCTCCCACCTTCTGCAGTAAATGATGCCCAGATTTGAAGTGTGGCCGTTATTTAGGGTTTTCTTTTTTTCCAATTGAAAAAAACCTTTATTAAAAGGCAAGCAGAACAAGGCTTTGCTGTGTAATTCATTCTCTAGGCTTCAGCAGAAGAGTGGTGAGAGTAGCTGAGAAAAACGAAGGAAAAACACAGATTCTCAAATCCTTGCTTCTCTTTTTGGCATGACTGATGAAAGTGGAGGTGCACATTCAGGAGGGCTGGATCTAAGAGATGCAGCTGACTTATTTTTCTCCTCGACAGTCAGCTGTGCTTGCCCGCTGACATAAGCCACCTCTCGGGCACAGACCCCGGCCGCGTCTACACGAGACGCTTGCATGCACAAGTACTAAATGACTACTTCGTAACTGGAGTTACTGCACAGGAGCGTCGCCAAATGGCTTGTAGGTGATGCTGACTGCGCAGTTGCTCATTGCTCCTGCGCCGTAGCGTTGCGTCATGCTTTGCACCGTGCCACGCTCCTGTGCAGTGCTAATGAGCTGCTTGCAACCGGCGTCTCATGTAGACGCAACCCCCATTTCCTAACACAACTACTAATCTGAGCAATGCAGCTTACAGTCAGGGAATGAAGAGCAGAACTGTCACGCCGCTTCTCTTTTGACCACTTGTTTTATTCTTTTGGCTCGTTGGCCTTTTAATGTGGTTTTTAGCTTTGCCTCTAATTTTTCCTCCTTGCTTTGCACTCATTGTGTTGACAGCTGCTTATTTATCCTCTTGTTAAAGGTCCCATTTATCAAGAACAATTTTTTGTAGAGGAAGGAAGCCAGCCCCTATACAAATAAGACCTTGCTTCTCTTGAATATACACATCCCCTCGGTGATTTACATGTCATGCTTACTCCGTTTGCTGTTCAAAGCCACCTTTTATTTTATTTTGTGAGTTTGTTGGCTTTTTTTTTTTTATCTACTTGATCAACCTGTCTTATGCAGATGGAGCTGTATCACCCTTGCTTCATACATCATTGCCATCAACAGCCAGAGAGCAGAAAACAAGGTTCAGATCGTCGTGATTATTGGTGATGATGATGTATGGAAAGTATAGACTGCAGCTTGGTTTTCCCAGTCTTGCACTGACCTAGCTGAGCTTAATTTTTTTTTTTTTTTAAAGTAGTAGAGTCTTGTTTAACTGGTTAATTGTGAAAGCTAGAGGGAGAAGAAACCTTTGGATGGTAGCGTTTTGTGAGAGTAAAGGGGACAGTTTTATTTTTCCCTGGGGCAAATGCAGCTGGTGAAGGGAACCTGTGGGGTTATGTCTGCTCATGTGCAAGCGTCTCTATTTTCCCATGTTGTCTTGAGGAGTGTTTGGCTGCAGTTGAGGCAAGGATCCAGCGAGCCCCTTATCCATGAATACACCAAATCCTTGTTTCTCTTTTTGTTGTGACTGATGGAAGTGGAGGTGCACATTCAGGAGGGCTGGATCTAAGAGATGCAGCTGACTTATTTTTCTCCTCGACAGTCAGCTCTGCTTGCCTGCTGACATAAGCCAGCTCTCAGGCACAGACCCCGGCCACGTCTACACAAGACGCTTGCACGCACAAGTACTAAATGACTGCTCTGTAACTGGAGTTACTGCGCAGGAGCGTCACCAAAAGGGCCTCCTATGGCAGAGTTCAAAGGTGGACCCAGGTGAACTCAATTAGGGATATTCATATTATTATTTGTTAGGATCAGTCAGCTGAGGATCTTCAAATTCTCTGCAAATGGTTATGTACCAGTAAATGTAAATGCAAACCATATGCTACCCATCTAAGGTTGCCAAGTATACTTAAACCCATTTCACAGCTTGCTACGCTGAACAAATTGTAGATACGTTTTCTGATTTGTGAAGCTGGCGCACAAAATCTTGCACATCATCCAGTACGCATGAAAAAGTGGTTCCCATCATTACATCACACTGCATATCTGCTCATCCCACCATTTCACTACTGGATGACAGATCTCGTTAGGCCACTGTTTCTTCTACATTAGTTACGAGGCATTGATGCAGACATTCAAATAGGTTATGTTCTCTTCAGCCGTGTCTAGCAGCTGAATATTTACACTTTACTAGGTGTATAAAGTGGTTTATTTGCCCCCGACTTCTATGATTACCAGGATGGTTTGCTATCAAGATAAAGAGATGCCTCGTTTACCATGTAGGTGTGAACTTCAAGCCAAAGTTGAATTGTGTACCTTCTAGGATCCCCAAACATGGACAGTATTTTATTTTCAATAGTTTTTCTTAAAAAACAAAGGAGATTAAATGCAAAAAGAAAAAGTGACATATCATTAGCAGTACAATTCGGTTCTCAGTTACTTTAATTAACTTGAGTGAATAGGCTCCTGTTAAAAATACCCTCTTTTCTAGCCTTTTATAGGGTTATTCCTGATTTACACATTTTAAAACTAAGAACTTAGCCCCCAAAACAGTGCATTTGAATGAAAAGGAAATGTATAATTGAAGGATTTTGCATCGGTGTCACAGGACACAATGCCCTGTGTTTTGGTGTGCGTGTTTCAGGACAGTGACATACAGAACAGAAGAAGCATGAATGTTAGTATCTTATAACCTGAAGAATAATTAGCTTTACATACAGGTGCCAGGCTTGAATTCAGTGTAGCTGCAGGAATGCTGATTTTTGCAGTTTGGGATTTTCTTATTTTCACTGCAGGCATGATGCTGCATAGGCATAACTCCCTCTCTTTAATGCCATGCAGTCCATTATTTTCTTCCTTAAGAAATACATGTTTGGCTGGTAGGGTCTGCGTCTAACTGATATGTACCTGGTTTACTACAGGCACGAGGGATACGTTCTTTAGGCCCAGCTCTGCAGCATACCCTATGATAAGAGTGAATGGACTCCATTTGGGAGGCATAATAAGAGGATTGTAGACTTGTGGGTTTATTGCCTGGATAAGCGGACAGAGAAAAACCTTGTTTAAAATCCCACTCACACATGCACACATTTGGTGGTAGCTGATTAAAAAAAAAAAGCAGCACAGCACGGGCTTGCTCAGCACCAGGTAAGGAAGATTTCAAATGAGCCAATATGCACCCATTAAACAAATACCACATTTTACTAGGCATTTGCAGAGCTAGCGGCACCGGGCATGTAAAGTGCTGTGTGGCTTTCCCCAAAGGCTCCGCAGGCGAGCTGAGTAAAGACGCTCCGGCTCTGGCGTCCGCTTTGCGCAGGCACTAGGGATCGGGAAGAAGATGAGTCCTTGGTGGGTGAGCGCGCCGTGCATCCAGAGCCCTTTTATGTTACAGCGCAGCTTGGGATGCAGGCAGCATGCGTCGCCACTGTGACCTGCAAATGGGCTGGCAAGGGAGCTGTGCCAGGTTCTCCCCCTCACGTTGCCAATTCAAAACACGTTGGGCTTCTCTCGTGAGACGTCGTCAACGTGGATCCGGGGCTGTGCAATAAGTCGCCCGTAGGAGAGCGGTAATAAAGGAAAAAATGAGACCATAAACCTGAGAGCTCCTTCAGTGCTGAAGTGACAGGTTGAAGCATTTGCAGGATGGGACTCACTGATACTTTTTATAATAGTCAAAGAAATCTAGCAGGGGTTATCCATGGGAAGTATTCGGTTATGCAGGCGTCGGAGCCACCATGGTGCGACGGTGTGTGTGTCACTGGTTGCATCACGTGCGTGCATCACTATTGCTGTGCTTCAGTGCAAGCAGAGCATGCTCAGTGCCTCACCGTGGGGCTTTGCTTGCTGCAATTGTGCCACGTGAACCCAAGGTGGAGCGCTACAAAGCAGGATAAAGAGATTGCTTAGATATGCCAATGACCACGCAGCTTGGGGTGCTGAGCATCCCCTGGAGAAGTACTTCTGCTGCCCCTACCACCTCAGAAGGGCCTTTTAGGAAATGTCTCCAGCAAGCCTATCAATGCACCGTGGACTTGGGGGTTACTTCCCCAACGCTTCAGGAAACCTGACTGCCCAGGAGCTGAAACAGGTTGTGCTGGTCAGCAGTTGAGGCAGGAAGCTCGGGAGCCACCACCCAGGGTGGAGTATAGCTCTGTGAATCCTCGTGGAAGGAAAGGCAGCTCGGGACTGTTGGCCTCAGACCCTTTCCAGCTGGGGTATCATACTAACCTTGTGCCCAGGCTCTCTGTGGGCCAGATCCAGCCTGGGGCATGCAGCGGCGGTGGCAGCAGCTCCAGCTTTGATGCAACAGTGGAGCAAATCCAGGTCCCTCCATGTGCCCAAGGATGCATTGGGGGCTCTGGCACAAGGTGATTATGGCATAGGGCAGCAGTGGGACCCATGGCTGAGAAGCTAGGGCCGTGGCAGTGGCACGAGGCAAAGTGGCCGGAGAGCCCCTGGGGCT